GATTTCGTAGTTGGAAAGGATTCTTTGTTATTCTGCAAGACTTACAGGTGAATGGATACCAGCCCACAAGAAAGGGAACAGCTGAGCCCCGAACCCAGGCTCCCAGATCTGAGAGACTGGCTCTGACAGGCTAATGCTTCCAACCTTTGCCTGGTGCTACTTTCCTATGAAGCTTTTATTTCCTGAAAGTGCTTCAAGGCCTTTTGTCTTTTTGGTAGTTTTCCCCATCTTGTATAGTTTCATGGCAGATTTCTACTTTATAGTGAGATGTGTACAGCCACCATGACAAAGGCATTCATACAAGACCATGTCCACCTCCATCCCAAAGAAGGCAGCCTGGTCTTATATACAACAGCCTTCTTGCCTTCCTAAGCCAACCCCTACTAGGAACATAGAATTTTTTTTTTCTGCTTTGTCGAGAGGACAGCTGGGTTTCCAGTGTTCAAATGTGAGACAGATGGGGTCAAGTTCATTGTCCTGTAGGGCTGTCTGCCAACAAGCAAGTATGACAAATTTGCAATTTGAGGACATTGGCAGCTTTTTTTTTTTTTTTTTTTTTTTTTTTTTTTTTTTTTTTTTTGCCCCTCGTGTACTTCAGCTTCTAAGATAACCACAGCCACGTGGCATTTTAAAAATCTCCCAATTTGGAATCTGCTTTGTCCTTCCTCAATCCCAGAGATGCTCATAGCAGGCAGAGGATGAGATGTTGAAGTGGAGAGCCATAGATCCTCAACTCAAGGATACAGTCCCTTCTCTGTGGTGCTAAAACCAGGCTTTGGACAAACCACAAGGACTCTGACCTTGAGATAAGATTTCCCCTTTTGCTCAGATTGTTGTCAAGTGTACCAGTTTTTTTTTTTGTCTGTGTTCAGGTAGGACCCTTAACTTGTGTGCCTCATTAACCATCATTGTCCTTCCTTGTGTGATGTTGCTGACACCTACCCAAGGCCATAGCTATTGAGTTGACAGACTTCTTCCCCCCCTCCTCCTCCTCTTCCTCCTCCTCCTCCTCCTCCTCCTCCTCTTCTTCTTCTTCTTCTTCTTCTTCTTCTTCTTCTTCTTCTTCTTACCCAGACCTTTTACTGTTCTGTAACTATCTGCTTGCCAAAAAAATGCTGTATTTGTTCCTGGACTTGTTTCTGCCCTTTATATTTATAATTGAAATGATGTGATTTGAATACTGTGGAAACCAGTAAGTTATTCTTATCTTTGGGAAGAGCGACGATGTCAAATAAAATGCCCAGAAAGAACAGGGGCAGCTCCAGTATACACCCAGGCCACTCTGAAGTATGTCTCTGTCACATGGCATGGCTTTATTTTTAAGACAGAAAAGTAGCCATGACTCCTGGAAGATAACTTCAAACTCATGCTGATGGTATCTACATTTAGAGGACATTCTCAGGCCTCACTGCAAAATACTGCCAACACCTTAAATCAAATAGGTGTAAGATTTCAATGTCTGTAATTTAAATTGAAATGACATACTTATGCCAGATAGGTAAGAGTTGCTGTGGTTTTCCCAAGACAGTGGGGTTTTAGTTAATGGACAAGATTATATTTTCTTGACTTTAACAAAGGAAAATATTCTCATGAACCTCAAGAAATTTTTGTGCCATTTCAGACACTGTGAAAGCAACTGCTGTGTTCTATCTCTAGTAAAGAATGATGGGCGCTGGGTTTAGTGGCATACACCTTTAATCCCAGCACTTAGGAGGCAGAGGCAAGTGGATCCCTGTTAATTTGAAGTCAGCCAGGTTTATACCATGAGTTCCAGGACAGCCAGGGCTATATAGTGACACCCTGTCACAAAACCAAACAGAACAAAGAATGACAGGAACACTGAGTGGAGAGTCAGATGATTTTGTGTGCTCTGCTTATAGGAACAGTGATTTTTTTTTGTTTTGTTTTGTTTTGTTTTTCAAGACAGGGTTTCTCTGTGTAGCTTTGGAGCCTATTCTGGCCCTCGCTCTGAAGACCAGGCTGGCCTCAAACTCACAGAGATCTGCCTGTCTCTGCCTCCCGAGTGCTGGGATTAAAGGCGTGCACCACCAATGCCCAGCTAGGAACAGTGATGTCTTAACGAACACTAGTTACAAGGTTCAATGAAACAGGGACTTAAGGCATTGTGGAAACTCCAGCTGAACTGTTAACATGCAGGATGTTCCAGAACATGCTTACTAAGCCTAAGTAGCTTCTCTTTGCAACTTGTCTTTGGAGTTGAAGTTATTTTCTTGTTTTGTTTGTGTTTTATTGCTCCTAATGGAATAATTTTCAACTACTTTCGGGGAAGAGAGAGATAAAGCTCCACTTCTTCCACCCCATCCTCTGCTGATGCTTCTGCATTCCTTCAGGGTCTGATGGAGCTTCTGTGAGGCAGGAAAAGCCTCTTCTCTATCCTGGGTATGAAAATGCATCCCACCAAATCTTGTTGCCAATGAACAGGCCTCTGGGGGTTGATGCACACCACTGGTTTGTGATCAGCATGCCTCTGCCTTTGTACTTCATGATCCTTCTTGAGGTTCTGGCACATTCTTCTGGTGACTGGTTACTCACTGGTCTTTTGGATGACCTTTGACTAATGTATTTGTATTCCAGCAGAATATTGGTTGAGCCAATTCAACATGGTATCCACTCTACACTAATTCCCCTGAAAGACAAATTCTTATCCTTCTCTGACTCATTAAAGCACTTTTAATATCACTTTTTATGTAAGTCACCCCTGGGTTTAGAGTTAAATTTATTTAAATTATTTCAGTTACATTGGACAGTATCATAATTAATTCCCTTCTCAATCACCCACAAAATGTTAAGTAGTTTGAGGCTGAGCATACTCATCCCATGAAGTTTCTATGGAAATCTTTGCCACTTCAGTCTTGTTACAGTAGAAGACTGGATGAACTCTGGCCCTGGAAGTGAACTGAACCCCAGGGAGGAATTGTCTAAGGCATACTTGCAGGCCCTAGTTTTTTTAATGTCATCCATTAAAAATAGAAAATCCTGGCTAAAGCCCCTCACTGTTCATTTAAAGTCATTATCCTCAGTGTGGACATAGTACCAAGATTCCACCAGCATGTTCATCTGAAAGGTGAGTACAAGTGCCCCCTCCCCCAGGTATGCTCATCTGAAAGGCACTCCCTTTGACTTGGAACATGGAGTTCTACATAGAAAAATCTTTGTATGGTGCTTGATTTTACCTCCACATTAACAACAGCCAAGAACAATCAAGAGCTCATGCCCTGGCCAGGGTTGCTGGTAGCTTCCAGGCCCCTTGTGTGCTGACCATACCTTAGCCTTTTACTTGTGCCTCTACAAAGCCATGGTGACCTTTTCAACCCCAGCTCTACTGATGCTTTAGATCCAGTGACTTTATTGTCATGGGCTTTCCTGTGCATTACAGGACATCAGCAGCATCTCTGGCTTCTTCCTACCCATCAAATGCCAGTCATGCATGCCCACCCATGACCAATGAATCCCTTCTGATTCTGCCCATCATCCTGTGGCAGTCAGAACCTAAGTGCTGTGGTTTCTTCTAGCAGCTTCCTGACAATATTTCCATATGACCCAGCTCTGCTTTTAAAGAAACTGAGGCTGCATCTGGGATGCTCAGCATATCTGTGTTGCGCCTCAGCAAAGGAGTTGATGAGTCTGAGACTAAGCGGCCTGAAGCCTTCCTACACTATCTAGGTTTGACCTCTTTGTGTAGTGGTAGTGACATTTTGTTCACATTTATTTTATTCTTTTATACATGAGCAAGGAGGATCCTCTCTGTATTTTTAGACATATAAAATTACTTAGTTACTACTGTTTTTTGAAATAATTTTATAGATTACTAAAGTTACTTTTTTTTCAAAAGAAATTATATAGCTATGCATTGGGTATAGGAAAAGATGCTGACTAACCATCAGGAAATACAAATCAAAACCACAATGAGTCACTGCCTCAATTTATAAAGACAACACTATTGTTAAATGTTGACCAGGGAAAAGGAGGCCGCTGTTGGTGGGAATGTAGGCCACCACAACCACTATGGCAAACCATGTGAATTGTCCTCAGGAAACCAGAACTGCCACCATAAGGGCTATATCATTACTCATGAGGTCAGTGTGATCTCAGAGATGTCTGCACTCACCACTGAAGCCCAGTTCACACCAGCCAAGACATGGGATCCCTCTGAGCCCGTGGCTTCATTCTTCATGTTTGCAAAGGAACTAAAGCATAACACTTGTCACTATGGCCACAGTTGGTAAAAATTTCAGTTCTCCACCCCCCAATGAGGTAAGAAAAAAAAAAAAAGACAACAATTTCTGAAAGTTTTGACCATGTCTTAAAATCTTAAATTACTGTCAAATCTAACTTTTGCCTATTGAAGGTTTCTGATCTATTCTCATGGGTGTCAATCATTACCATGCTTTAACTAAAAACAAGACACATGACAAACAGTTGTAGTTTCCTGAGAGGGGATCTTGCCACAGAAATGGAGAAGACCATGGACCTTGTGAGTTCTCTGAAAAATATCTGTACATGAGATGTCAGCAGAGTGGACCTACCATAGCCTAGTCAGTGTGGATTTGGGCCTTTGATCTATACCATCTGGTGGGCATATATTTTACTGTTTTGCTGGAGCACACTTCTGTTCTCAAGGCTATAGATTCCCAGGGAGCAAGCCATCAAAATGATACTTGCTCCTGAGACCACAATGGTTCATTTGCAAGATAAACGTGTTTATACACTCCTTCATCCTGGGGTTGTATACCCTGGAGGTGGGGAGGTGAGGGAGATGGGGGGATGGTGGGGGTGAGGGTTGGGCAGAGGGATGGCTGTTTAGACATAGCTTAGAATTATGGTCAAGGAGGGCTCTTTACTTTTTTTTTTTTTTTTTTTTTTTTTTTTTTTTTTTTTTTTT